CGGATCCGCACTAAACTGGACAACCTCACACACGCGCGTCGTGCGGGTTGCCTGGTTACCCGCTCCCCCCCTCCCCTCCCCCCTTCTTCATTCATACAGCGGTCTAGGCGCGGTCCTGCATTCCTTCATCTTCATCTGCAGGGGATTAGTGAGATTTGTCCTTATCGGCGGGACCTGTTGATAATACCGTGCCAAGAGGCGTCGCGAACTATTTTCTCCTCCACTCTGTTCCCACTGACAGCGCGAGCGAAGAGAAGCAGCGGCTGAGCATGCGGCCGCTGCAGTAAACAGTGGCTGGCGCTGGCGGCTGGCGCGCTGCTAGGGCGTGCCATGCCATGCCCATGCCATCGGTACACTGTCACACAGTGTAGCGCGGAAAATAAAAGGAGGAGGGGCAAGGAGAGGCCCGCGCCGCGAGTCCGCGGCCGCGAGCCTATCGCGAATGCGGGATCATGTAGGGCAGCTCTGCCGCGCGCGGACCGCAGTTTGGCGTGCCCGTTAAGCGAAGCAGAGTCGGATCGGCATTAGAAGGGAAGCGCAGCGCAGGGACCTGATCGAGGTGAAGAGCCCGTGATGGGCGTAGCTCGGCCTCGCGCAGCGGGTTCTCTCATCCTCCGGGTGGCTGACCGACGTCGCGCGGCGCCGCGCCTTAGACCCGCGGAAAAGTGGGGGAAAGACCAAAGACCCCTGCCTCCTCTCCTCGCGCCCGCAGCACCAGAACTAGTTTTGCTCCGGCTAAGAGGAAAGGCTTCGTTTCATAGGAGGGCGAGGGGCTTCGGGAGGAAGGGGGCCTGATGAGCTGGTGCAGAGGAGTCAAGAGGTGAGATCCTACAAACAGGTGTGTGCACTATTTGGTGATAACGAAAGATACAATTTAAATGTTTTTAAAACATAGTATTTTTAATAGTCAATAGTGTGAGGATGAATAAGGCTGCTACTCCTCAACTCACATTACAGTATTTGATGAAACAAGGTTTTGTCTTTTACGGATTGCAATCCCTGCTAAAACCAGACATAAAAAAGTTTGCATAATCCAAAAGCCTCGGGGATTTTCCAACACTAGTTGAAGAAAGGTAAAAGCATTGATCTATATAGAGATGTCTTCTTTTCTTTCATGACTGATCAATAAATAGAGGAACTCCATAAATTACAGCAAATTATTGCTGAAATAAATACACAATTACATAACTGTACATCAATCACAGGTGAATGAGCTCTATCTGCTGGATGGAATTCCAGGCAGACCCCACCAGCATATATCAATAAATAGTAAAACAGCACTTATGATACCTGTTTCAACCAAATCCCACAAAAGACACTTAAATTGATGATTTGACAGATCGATATTTGACTAAGGCGGCAAAGAGGAAAAAAGTTACTTTCACACATGGCAAATATGAGATGGAAATAATTATTCTAAAAATTTTGTGCCATAATACTGAATCAGAAACAAACTAAGTTTGCCCTGACTTAAATTGATCTAGTTGTGTAAAGCTGCAGTGTCTAGACCAGGCTTGTCCTTCTTGGCAATGCCAGAAAGTAATTTCTTGATTTCAGAAATTGCCTTGCCTGGGTTGAGACCCTGAAGTTCAGATAAAAAAATGTTAGGACACAGATTAAATACAAGTACAGCAATTGGATAAGTGGTAGATAGAAATACCTTGGGACAAGTGCGAGTGCAATTCATGATAGTGTGGCAACGGTAGACAGAGAAAGGATCCCTTAATTTATCAAGTCGAGCCTCTGTGTGATCATCTCTGGAATCGATAATCCATCTGTATGCCTGATAAAATAAGAAAAATTCAGTCAAAACACTGCGATTTTAGAAAACAACTACAAGAAAAACAGTAACTGATTTAAAAAATTGATGTAAAAAAAAAAACATCAGTAAAAATAAAAATATTGATAAGACTGACCTGCATCAAAACAGCAGGTCCCAGGTATTTGTCGCCATTCCACCAGTATGATGGACATGAAGTACTGCAGCAAGCACAGAGAATGCACTCATAGAGACCATCCTGTAATGAAACAAATTGTAGCATATTAATTTGACAATAAAATAAAAACTTTTAATTCCAATACTGAATGCACTCACCAACTTCTTCCGGTCATCAATACTCTGAAGATACTGAGCAGTACCGCTCACAGGTTCGTCCTTCCTCTGTAACCAAGGCTGAATAGACCGGTACTGGTTGTAGAAATTGTTCATGTCAGGGACTAAGTCCTTTACGACATACATGTGTGGAAGAGGGTAAATCTTCATCGGCTTGTTGAGATTCTTGTCAATATTGCTGAAAAAAATGAGAGAGACTAAGCAAAAATATCTTTATATTTAATGTGAATAGAATATCTACCTTGAGACCTACCTGATACAGGCAAGTGTGTTGACTCCCTGAATATTCATAGCACATGAACCACAAATACCTTCACGGCATGACCTCCTGAAGGTGAGGGTCGGATCCATTTCATTTTTAATTTTGATGAGAGCATCAAGTACCATGGGACCACTCCTAAAGTTTGAACACGAGATTAACACTAATGTAAATAACTTTCAACAGTGATAAGCGGATGAAAGCCAAAGTATGCTTATGATACAAATTATAGAGATGCACAAAAATAACAAACAATACTACAAATGATTTTCATCCATCTGGAGGACCAATAACGACAAATACTAACTGGTCTAGATCAACACTGTACTCCTGCATAGAGGGCTTTTCTTCTGGCTTGTCTGGGTTCCATCGGTAAATAAGAAACTTCTTCATACGCTGACCAGATGGAGCTGATGTATGCAGACGGCGTATCTATAACATATTGAAAACAAGATTGCAAAAGATAAGTCCTGTGAAATGACGTTATGCAACACACAAAGACAGTTGAACAGGTAGAGGGCAAAAGGGAGTGTATGTAAATTTATCACAAATTGACACATGAAATAAGTTGTCAAGCATTTGTGACAGATAGGCAGGATTTTCATTATCACTATCCTTGTGCAGTTTGAGGTTTGAAGAAAACACCATAGCCCCACTTGCATCTTGCAGAAGACTTGTCCAGATGTAAACTAACAGACAACAGGATATTCTAAGACAAATATTTCAATTTTTTCTAGCTCTTTAATGTAGCTTACCTGTCCCAGAGTAGCCCAGCAAGTTTTCGTCAACATTTCGCTTGCCATTTTAGAAGCGGTTCAAAACTTTTACCAGTCAGCAGACAGAACTGCACAAGGGCAGCAGCTGAAGCTGAGGTACATTCTGGAAGGTGGAAAATGCGACGTAGTGAGCTGATCAAATTAAATATGTTACATAAGTTGATGGCTGTGTGTGATATGGAAAGAGAAAACTTTACCGAAGTTTCTTAACGCGTTGAAGAAATTTGTAGCCAAGATATAGGTTTTAAATTTACTATTTTTGATTTTAAGTTCCCTTTTTGAGGCTTTGGTCAAATTGTGGTCAGATGCTTACATCTTGTGACGTCACTGACAGCTCTCGTCGTCTGTCGTCTGTCTATTGTTTTGTTTGCGTAGTTGTTGTTGTTGTTGAAAAGGTGTGCTGTTGTTGTTCGAGATTGCAACAAGTGGTCATGGATGGTGTTCAACTTGGATTTGAACCACAATATTGCTAAGCATGTCGGAATATTGAAAAGTTTTCAAGGCCAATATAAGCCGTTTCTAAATTTCTTCATTGTGATTGTACATTTCGAAACCATTTAAAGGTTCGTATCTTACAGTGAACCTCATTTCTTGAGTCAATGGGTTAACTTAATGGCAGTATTTTGTCAATTTGAGGATAGTACTTCAAAAATATTTATTTTGTTGACAGATGTCAGGACAGGCAGAAATTGACCTTTCAGAGGTTCCCATAGCTGCTCTGCGTGATAGAACTCGTCGACTCCTTGAAGAATCCCTGAATGAAGCTAGAGTTCTCCCCACAGATGAAAACATTCCAAGGTAGAAATTTTTTTTGGTAAATTTTTTTGTTTCAATGATCTCTGACATGAAATAAATATTGCTCTCTTCCTTTTCCACTTCAGAGATTGGCGGGGGCTTGCTCATTTTACTGGAATTAACACATTATCCCTAGCAAAATCAACAAATCCTTGTTCCGAAATATTAAAACTATGGGATGAAGACAAGCTGTCAAAAGGAGATAAGAGACCTTCACTGAGAGATCTGCTGAATATATTTGCCCAGATTGATCGATGGGATGTGTACGATGATTCAGAACCAATGATGTGTACGTAAATCACTTTTAATTATTCAACTTTTTAAAAAATCATTTTAATTATACTATGTTGTTGTTTTTTACAGTGGAAGATGCAACTCATTACACCACATCACTTCAAGTACAACCAGTCGTTAAGGAAACCATTCAGCCTTTTGAAAATGGCTGCTTGACACAGAGTATGTTGAGATTTGTGTGTAGAGCCCATATTCACTTGACTTAAAATCAGGTACCTTTGTTTTAATTCTTGTAAATTACAGAGGATGTTGAACGTTGTCGGGATGGACTCCCTCTTCTGAAGTATGATGCATTCTTGCTGTATGCAGATGAAGATCTCAAGTATGCCAGAATGATGATTGATAAGTTGGAGTACGAATACAACCTTCAGGTATTAAACCTTAAGTTCTAATCCATACGTGTGAAGTTAAAACTAATAATTTTTGGTGCTAATGTCAATTGTACCTCTTTGCCAGCTTGTTGTGAAGGATAGAGACTTACTCACAGGTGTAGGTTTTGAGTTCAAAGCTATCACAAAGTTGATTGCTGAGCGTTGTTCTTGTATGATTGTCATTCTCTCTCCAAATCTTCTTAAAAGTGAAGCTAACATGTTTTTCTTGGCCTTTGCCCAATCACTCAGCATCCGTAAGTTCATAAATTCACCATTTCTTTAAAACTTTTTGACTTTTGTAATTGTGACATTAATTATTTTTTTGATTTCCCTATTTTGTTTTGTTTAGAGCAGCAGCAAAAGCGCATCATACCCTGCAAATATGAACCTTGTGACCTTCCACCAGAAATAAGTTATCTGTATTATCTGGATTATCAACGCTCGTTATTGTTTAACAACTTCTGGCAGAGAATCAGCAGCTCAATTAAGGCTGCTATTGATGCTCCTGTTCCACAAAAAGTGAGCCCTCAGTTGAGCACTACTTCCAGTCAAAGTGAGGCCAGGTAAGAGCTGCTTCTTGAATATCATTTTGTTCACTGATTGTTGTTATTGGAGGGATTCAAGAGCGTTTCATTGGTACTTATTTCATATTTAGATGTACAATAACAGAAATACCATCAGAAGAAATCCAACCGGATGTGGAGTCAACTGTCACTGAGGAGCAAACTGCCATTGTGAGAATGTCAGACCCATCAACTCATTTTCCTGGCAACAGTTTAGAAAACTCTACAGAGAAGAACTGGTTTTGCAGCAAATCTTCAATAAAGAGTGATGACATTTCTCAGCCCTCAAAACCACAAGATACTAGTCTTATTAGCCGTATTAAAAAGATTAAGAAAAGTAAAAATTGGTTTAAAAAGAAGAAAGCAGTGGCTGTTGAGGCATGACCTTACTGACCTTACTGTATGAGCATAAATGTAGACTGTTCAGTATCCATTATCATAGTAATCAGTACATTGAATCTCTTGCGTGATCGTTTAATATAAGTATGCATTTCCTAGAATCTGTTTTATCTTTTTGTTTACATTAGTTTTTAAATATATATTATTCAATGTTTTGATTTTTTTAAATACATGTTTAGTAATTTAAAAAATCTCAGTTTTGGAGTGCTGGCACTTCTTAATGAAATTGACTGAATTCAGAGTACTCCTTGTTTAACGTATGTCTTCTGACTGCTTAGTTTGTAAACTTGTATTTTTACCTATTTCTATATTTTATAGGTATGTTAATAAAATTAACAACCTGTGGAAAGCAGTGTATCCTGGTGGGAGGAAATAAGAAACTGTTTGATTTAATCTAATTTCTATTTATCACTTTACAAAAGAACCATCAATCAAGAGTGAGTCAAAGTATTATGCTCTTTGACACAAACTTAAGTGATAGCACGACCTATAAATATTTTAATCTGCAAATTGCAGCTCAGTCTTCCACATTAATTACAATAAATTAGAAACACAGATAAGTCAAAAGGGTGTGTGAAGACTAGAATAGCAAGTTTTGATCCACACTTCAGTTGTTGATATCAATCACAAATGTGCGAATTTGCATTGGCTTGAGCTGAACATTGAAGTCTGTCTCTTCCTGCACATGCACAGTCTCTTCCTCTTCATCAATAGCATTTGACTCTGACTTCCACTTCAACCTCTCTGAATCCTTCAACCAGTGGTTAGCTCCTAGGGTAGTCTCCCTAATACGAAGAATCTTGAAAGGACTCAACATATCCTGAAAGAAAAATTAGTTTGTGAACATGTATGTATACGGGGCAAGAAAACTCTACTGGTTATTTAAAATCTTACCTCGACATTGACAGTGGCGACCTTTGAAAGTTCATGGTCTTCTCCCTTCTCAACAAAATGCTCCAGACGAAGGAGAAGAGTCTTTGCCTTCCAAGGCTCCAGGGTTAAGATGTGGACATTGTGTGGTAAAGACTTCTTAAGGCCAGAGAACTGTAAAAAAAAGAAGAAAAAAGTAATTACCACTTCATTACATTGCCTCGTGCTTATCTGCTTCCTCATTCCAGCTTTCACAGAGTCGCCATACCTCCATGTTGTATGTCTTCTGCCATTTGTCGAAGCTCATGTCCTTGTCCACGGTTGTGAAGAAAGTCCAGGGCTGCACCAGCTTCTTGAAGGCCAGCATGCGCTCCTGTCCGGCCAAGCTGCGCCGGCCCACAGCTTCGCCATCAGCTCCACCCAACACGTAGTGGGTGCCTCGCGCCACCAGGCCCTTGCCGAACGCCTCCTCGTTGAGGGCCTCGCCAACGCCAAACGCGTCGTCGTGCAGAAGGCGGCGATGGACCTAAAAAATGAAAGAACAACCGGCCGTCAAGGATCGCAGGGAAGAGTTAGAGCCAGGGCCCGCGTAACGTGGATCACAGATCCGTGCGACATTGTGGTAAGCCAATACGCACATCGTTCAAATTTTCAAGTTTGGTAAATGAGCTTATCGGTCACACCCACCATGAGTTCGATCTCGCCATCGCCGAGGCTGCTGCCGCCCTGGGCACGGTCGACGAGCACGGCGAGGGACAGCTTCTTGGCGGGGTCGCGGACGCTGATCTTGGAGGTGACGGGGTAGTAGTTGCCCGCGACGGGCTCGGCCAACATCAGCTTCCACGAGGGCCGCTGGTTGCGCTGGCGCTTGAGCATCTCTCGGCCGTTCGAGTCGGTGTAGAAAACGCCCTGGGTGTTGAGACCCTTGGCGGTGAAGCGGCTGATGACCTCCTTGCCGATGCTGTCGTCGACGGGGATGGGACCCACCATCCACTCGAACTCGACGTGCTTCTCGTTGGCGTACAGTCGGATCACCTGGCTCACCCACTCGTTGTAGACCTGGTGCACCTCCTGCACGAGGTCGCCCTTGTAGGACTTGACGGTGGCCTTGTCGGCCACGGGGAACGCGGTGCCGTTGGGTCGGAAGATGTAGGCGCCCGAGGAGCGGTTACGGAACTCCTCGTTGTTGCCGCTCATGCCCTCGTAGTAGAAGAAGTTCTGCTCCAACGACACGTTGACGCCGCCCGCGCGAATGTGACGCACCAGCCCGGTCTCGGGGTCCAGCTCGACGTGGACGTGCTCGTTGGACACGCTCAGCGCGTCGTCTCCCTCGGCAGCGACAGGCTCGCGGTGGTGCTCCTTCTTGCCCTCGTGGCTCACGTAGAACGAGCGGAAGCCCATGGGCGGCAGGTTGTCGGCCTTGAAGACGAGCTCGTAGCGGGCGGCACTCATGACGCGCCCGGGCATGCGCAGCACGGCCTCGGGGATGGGCACCACCTGGGAGGCCTCCTCGTGGCCCATGGGGCAGCGCACGCTGTAGCCGGACGCGTTGGGCACGGGGATGCGCACAAACTGGGACATCTTGTGGCTCTGGGGGTTGAAGATGGTCACCACGAACTTGTCGTTCTTCTCGGACACGTCGCACATGCTCTGGTTGAGCAGCAGGCAGCTCTGGAAGGGCACCAGGTCGTCGTCGCCCTCGCGGGCGGCCACGGCGCGGCGCGCGTCGGCGCCGACCAGCACCACGGACTCGGAGCGGTCTTCGGACTCGGAGCTCGAGGAGCCCACGTCGTAGACGGGCACGGTGTTCTTGCGGATCAGTTTGCTAGGGGAAACACAATTTGCCGTTAGACTACTGCATTGTAGCGAACCAGGGCGTCTTCAAGCACCCCCACACTGAACGTCGAGCTGATGTGAGGCGCCCCCCTTTGCCACTGCACAGGCGCTTAGGGCGGGCCGCCCGCCCCACACAGGTGCTCGGCGGGTCGGCCTACCAAGCGCGTCGCAGGCGCTCCCATTAGCCCGACGTCCACAGCGGGGCGTCTTCCTCGTCCCCTTCGGTCTTACTTGAGCGCCGCCTTGGTGGCGATGCCGCACTCCTCGAAGCCCCTGGCGAGCAGACGGCTGTAGTCGGCGGCCACGTGCTGCTTCTCGGTGCCGGTGATGGCGTCGTGGTGCTGCATCACGCCCATGGCCTCGCGCATGGCGTCCAGGTCGGCCATGTCCTCGGGGCCCAGGTCGGCGAGGGCGTACAGGTTCTTGCACACCTGCGGACGAGAGCGAGAGCGTGTGAAGCGACGAGGTCGCGGGTCGTCAACCGAGGCCGAGCAGGGCAGGAAGGTTGTCTTACCTGCAGGAAGTTGTTTCCCTGGCGCTCGAAGAACTTGATGGTGGGCCTGGAAGAGTAGTAGCCGGTCCAGTACGCATGGGGGTCGCTAGCGTAGGGGAAGAAATCATCGTCCTTGGTGGTCCAGGTGTTGTTGGAGTCGTGGACAGCCTTGAGGTAGCACGACGGGGTGGAGTAGAACAGGTTCACCTTCTCCTCGGTCTTGTGGTTGTTGATGTACCTGAGGCGGCCAAAAACATCTCTGCTAAGTCACTCTTTTATTTCGGGGATTAAACCAGCATACTCGACGTTTAGAATTTGACTACCCTGGCAAGAAAAAGCGGGTAAGGGAATGACACTAGCAGTATATTTACAATGGATTAGCCAAACGGGACGCATGCATGTTGAGAGAAGCGTAAAGCAATAAGCCGATAGCGCCGCGCGTGAATCACCACTCATGTCTGAGCTCAGCTAGCATTGTGTGCTAATTTATTTAGAAGTGGGGATGAGTATCAATAAAGTTAACGTATACCTGCGCTACAATAGTGAGGGCTAACAAAACTACTCCCCGCCACTTCAATCTTACCGAATGAGCTTGTCCATGTTATTGAACCACATCCCAGCCGCCTGGTATTGGAAGTCGTCTCCCATAGTGAGGATTACATTGCTGGTGCTGTACAGGGCGGCTTGTTCTCTAACGTAGGCCAAGAAATCTTGAACCTGTCGGTGCACCAAACTTATGTTACAACATGCAATAAACTGCCTTCTGAGAGTACCGTTGGAAATACCGCGAAAATGAAGTAGACATTGGAAGGCTCAGACAAGAGGTGGGTACCAAAAAGCTTGCAAAGAGTGAACCTTTTTATTCGCCCTCAGCCTGCCATAAAAAAACACATGCTGCACAAACGCTAGCCGATACGATCTCGGCTTACCCAATCAGTTTGTCCAGGTTGAGATACCACATGTGAGCCGCCTGGTACTGAAAGTCCTCTCCCATGGTCATGATGACGTTGTTAGTGGAGTAGTTAGCCACCTGAGCCCTGGCCAGGGCAATGAACTCTGCCGCCTGTCACAGTCGGGGGTACGAGGACCATACAAATATCAGAGCGAGAGCATGGCGACGATTGTGCTGGTGTACAGGGAACGCGGCGGGACACGCCGCGTCCCTAAAAGCATTGACAGTGAGAGGAAAGCCGCCGCGGAGGTAGGCAACTCATCGGGCACGGGGCGCGCTGCCGTCGCCGCCACCAAAGTCGTGCATGAGGTGATTATTTTATTTTTTGGGTGGTGCTGGGAGGGGGGGGGGGGTAGGGCAGCACCTCTAGGGCCAACACAAAAGCACACAATGGCCGGCACACTATGTACAGCAGGCGGAGAGCGGAGCAGCGGTGCGCGCCAAGCACGACCACCATATGCCACGAGGCACACTGTACCTGATGAGCTTGTCCATGTTCTGGTACCAAAAGTGCGCCGCCTGGTAGGTGAAGTCACCGCCCATGGTGAGGATCACATTGCCGCTGGAGTAGAACTGGGCCTGCGCCTTGGCGAAGCTGAGGAAGTCCGCCGCCTGCTCGAATCACACCGCTAGTAAGGGGAAGCGCGCGTACTCACACAGACAGCACACACACACACACAGGCACGCACACGCACGCACACAGAGTCGGCCACGCGCACAGGATCTAGCGCAGGAAAGACAATCGGAATGCAGCCATTCGCGGGAGATTAATACGGTATTCCGCTATGATTCCGCGGGCGCGGAAGCTGCTGCCGCCGTCCCGTCAGGGGGAAAGGAAATCTCACCGACAGAACAAGGGGGGTAAAAAGTCACAAGTTCTTCGTCGCTGTTGGATAAAGTGCTCCCTCCGCTCCAGTTCCAGTCAAAGTCACATGCTAACGCATCCTTCCGGTTGAAATGCTGCCGTCAGTAAATTATTTTGCTAAGAGGAGTAATATCAAGCCCTTCACTAACACTCACTGTCACAATGAATGTACTCCCAAAGAAAAGGTGCCATCCGGAGGGCACATGGAAGGAAAATCACCTAGTTTCAAATCCTAAACCCAAAAGCCCCACCGCAGAGATACTCCTGGACAAAAGTAACACGTTACACGCGCCAGCCAGATAGCGGGGCCCGTCGCGACAAACACGTTTCCGCCACGGCTACTACCACCACTACTACTACTCGCCTTGGTCTCCAGGTTGTAGTCGGGGCTCTTCTTGTCGTCGATGATAGGCTCGTCGGCGCACAGCACGTCGAAACAGAAGCCGGGCGGCGGGCTGTACGTGTTGTAGAGGACGCCGGTGAACAGCTCGGCCTGCTTGCCTGCGAGGAATATCATCAGTCAGATGAAACTGGGGTTGGTTCTTACTTTCCAAACGATGGAACGCGATGGAACAATCGAGTTATCCACTTCTGAGGCGTCCTAACGATGAGCGTGTCAAGAGGTGACGACGCAACGCTAATGATAGCGCCTGCCGCGCGCTGGGTAGGCAAGCCCGCCAAGCAGCCGTGTGAAGACGGCGGCCCGCCCGGAAGCTCCCTCGCGCAAGAGAACTTTTGATGCGCCGATAATAACCCGAGTCTTTTGCTGGCGACTCACCCAGGTTGGCGCTGCCCTTCCAGATCATCTCGCCGTTCTTGGCGCCCAGTCGGTGCAGCTTGTCCTGGTAGTCGAGGCGGCCGAAGAAGAGGCCGTCGTAGCCCATCTGGGCGAAGAGCGACGCCTGCTCGCGGGAGTGGCCGAAGGGGTCGATCTGCCAGCCGACGCGCGGGCGGGCGCACTGGCCGAAGGTCTCGTTCAGCTTCCTGTGTGTGCCGCGTGCAGAGAAGGGTGTGAAAATTAATAAAAAAAAATAAAAATAGAGATGATCGCGCGTTGAGGTCTTTAGAGGACAACGTTACCGGAGGCCCCAGGAGAACTGATCGATGATGGACATGTAGTTGGTGACGGCCTCGTCGTTCATGGACCAGGCGCCGCCAATGAACTCGAGGCGGCCGCTGTCGACCAGCTTCTTGACCTGGTGGCGGCGGGTGTCGTGCTGGTTCTTCCACCATTTCCAGAAGAAGGCGGTCTCCACGTAGATGAACCTCTTGCTGGGGTCGTGGAGGAGCTCGTTCACCACCGAGTCGATGATGTACTGCACGCCGGCCTTCTGGGTAAGTGATTGACCTGCGTGACGCAGATAAGTAGAAGTAGTAAAAGTGATAAGAGAATAGCATATAAGTACATATTTAGTACTCGGCCAGAACGGATACCGATAAAGAAAGTGGGGTTATCGCATCCCCCATAAAAATGATACTGGATTTGTGCACGACTCTTCCATGCCACGTGCCCTTCACAATAGTTGTGATAACGCCAACCTTTCTCCAGATGCGCGGTGCTTGTTATATCGGGCGCGACTCTTGCCAGTGAGCTGCAGGGCGACCTGCGCGGCCCCGTCCTCCTCCTCCGCGGCCGTATAACCAACTCTCGCGTGCGGCTTTTCAATCTCGTCTAATTCACTTGCGGTGCAGTTGCACTGCATGTGAGGTGCGAACCGCAGCCGCGGGGCGGGGCGGGGCAACGCCGCTGCAGCCCGAGCCAAGTGGGCCGGGCCACCGGACCGCGCCGCGAGGCGTCCGTTTAGTGCCGTACCGGCTCCGAGCGCGTCAAACGATCCAGCGTTAACCTCCTGTCATGATCCCGTCCCTTTCGCCGCAGAGGCTACCCAACCGAATCGACGAATAATAACACCCTCATTATCTGTGTTTTTTACTTACTTCCATAGTAGTACTGGTCGACGGTCTTGAGCCAGCCGACGTCATCGTGAGTGTGGGGCACCAGATGCACGTTGAGCACGCCGGGCTTGGGCTTGGGGCACGACTGCAACACGGGAAGCAAACGTGATGAGAGGTTGACGCGGTAGAGCGCCGGGCCGGAGGAGCAACCAGAGCGGATGCAGTGCTGCGGTCTGGCGGCCGGCCGGCCGGCGTCCAGCCCAACCAACGGGGGCCAAAACTGGTCGCAATTAGAAGAAGCTGGAGGGCATTGCAGGGGAGGGGAGGGGAGGGAAGGGAAGGAGGGAGTTAGAAAGAGACAAGAGGGACGGAGTGTCAAAAATCGCGGCGCGGCGGACCAGAGCGCTAAAGTATTCCATGCTGATTATGACAAATCTCGGAAGTCATCGTTTGATCTGCCCCATCCTGCCCTGCCGTTGCGCGGACATTGTTGCCGCGAGCTGCCCGACCTCCTCCTCCTCATCCTGCCTGGAGGACGGGAAGGACCCCGGTGCTGCTGCTGCAGCAGCGTCACTTTACGGTGCCGCCTGAGCCGGCCCATACCGCGGCCAGGACGCTAACCGCGGCGGGCCGCTGCTGTCTTACTTTCGAGGCCCGCGCCGCCGCCGCGGGACGGACGGGGCGGCGGGAGACGCCAACAGTGCCGGGCGGGCCGGGCGGGCCTCGACGTCAACACGGCGAAACGTCCCCAGCAGCAATTGTTCTAATTAACGTCAGAGGGAGCGAGAAAGTCGGCCGAGTGTGTTTCTCCGCGAATTTCGACGGGACGCGCGCGCTGCTGTCCGCAAAACCGCTACACACGTCGTGTGCACCGCGCTCGCTGCCGGCGCTGCTGGCCCACCTCTTCCTGCAGTTCGCCCGGTCCGGTCCGACCCGAAGCGAAAATGAAATGACAGACAAAACGACTACGCGAAATACACGACTACTGTATGGAGGCCGCGGAGCGCGGTTGACGTGGATTGCCTACTTTCAGGAGACCCCGATCACTTGTTGCCTACCTCACAGGTGCGATGTGTTAGCCCTCCCCTCTCTCCGCCCCCTCTCCCTGGAATGCATGCTCACCGCTCACCCCGCGTCGTGCCCGGGCCCGGGGCGCCGGGTTCCGTATCTGTCAGCGTCATCACCTCGCGAAACATATCATCTGCTGCCGCCGAGTACCGGCCCAGCCAGCGGCGGACGGCCGAGCATAGGTCTCAATTTTTGATGAGATGCCCCTCACTCCCCTCCCCATATGCCACCCCGTCCCCCTCCACGAAGTACTCCATCACCAACTCGGCCCCACATCAACGCGAGCGAGCGCGCCATTGTTCTGCGCGGAAGCCTGCTGCTGCAGCAGCTGCACATCCGGGACCGCCTCTCTGCTGGACCAGAAGGAGAGCACCGCAAATGAAGAGCGGCGCGCCTCACACGACGACAGGTGGTGCGGGCGGGAGGCGATTGAGACGCCAAAGGTGCGGCAAAAGGGAAAGGTGGAGAGGGAAGTCCGTGGGAAACCTTTGCTGCCGCTGACGACGGTGATGGGCGCGAGGGTGGAGGAGCTCCCAGCCCTGCGGCGCCCGCTGGACTTCCCTGCTGCTCTGCTATTTCCGCCCGATCAGTATTTCATCGCTGACCCTGCACTGCGACTACAGCCGCCCTGGTGCAGCGTGGCTTGGCGTGGCGTGGCGTGGCGTGGCGTGGCGTGGCGTGGCGCGGCGCCGCATCACGGTGGCAATCTGGTTTGGAGCCTTGAGCGACCTCGCGCGCATACCGCAACAAGTCATCTCTGGCCGGCGGCAGCAGCAGCAGGTAGGGCACATGGTGGCCTGGCCCTCGGCCTGCCTGGCCGCGGCAAGTGATACCCGTTGCACGGCCCGCCTCCGGCCCGCTCGCTGGCTGGCCCGCGGCGCGGCCGCCGCAGTCCCCGGTACACCACTCACCGCCAGGAAGCAGCAGGACGACCCCGACCCGAACCCAACTTACTCCCAGACCACGCATCCCTCCCCCGCTAACAAGTTCAGCCACAGATCCGCAACTACCACTGGTTTGGCTGTTCAAAAACTACGTGGCCTTTAAAAGGAGATCAGATCAGAGGTCCAAATATTATGGAGTCCCAACCCAAAGGTTTGGAACGGTCATTGGAGGCTATGGAGACCCTGATGACCATGTGACCCCATAAAATGTGCCCCCCCCCTCCTAAAATCGACGTGGTTTTTGAACAGAACATACATGCGACCGGGTCGCGGGCGGCGCCGATGGCGTGGCCGCGAGCCCCGACCCGACCTGCCGCGGCGCCACGCTCGCGGGCTGGATACGTCACCAGAGGTGTGATTTATAATCCGAACCGAACCCGCTGCAGCAGCAGCAGTCTCACCTCTGGCCTGGATGTGCTCTCGAATCCCGCCTGGTATCCCGGCGGCGGCGCCCCGAGCAGATCCGCGCCGAATCCGACTACTACTACTTCACCTCTCACAGCCAAACCGGCACCGCGAGCGACCCGGCCGGCGGGGGACCGGGAGGGGCAGTGCGGGGGCAACCGGAACAGGGGGCCCACACCACCAGCGCGGGGTCGTTTGAAATGGCCCAAATAGGCACCGGCAACCGCCCGCCAAGTCCACTGCTCGTTCCGTTCCCAATCAGTTTTACAGCTCCGGGCGGGTCAGGCGGGCCAAAACTCGGACCAGTTGGAATGCTACGCCAGGCCCACGGCCCACTAGGCTTAGCGGCGGCGCGCGGCGGGTCGGGGCCGGCGGGCCCGCGTATGTAGATGTAGGGTAGGCGCGCAGGCCCACGATCTGTATTGCCCTCTGAAGATATGAACCCCAGACGAACGAGAAGGCCAGGCCAGGTCGATGTCCAGTGCCCCAGCAACAAGTGTTGTGTCTTCGACTAGGCCTGCCCGCGGCCCGCCGACACGACCTGATACTATCAAGAGGAAGCACCTCGCTCTACATGTCGCCGGGCAAGTAGCTCAGATAATGCATATACCGTTGACAAGTGACAAGGTCCTGGAAAAGTTGGGTCGAAGGTGACTCTTTCCCTATCTGAAAGGCACTTACCAGTCTTCCCCCGGTCGCGCGGTGGACACAAACAGACCGGCGATAACGCTGCCTTGCCGAGATATCGACGCCGGGGGGACGCGGCCGCCCCGCTCCGCCCCATCCCTATCTGACGCGTGCACTTGCCTCCCTCTAGAGGCTGTGACATCTGACCTGTCAGTCAGACCATCGGAGCCCGCCCGTCAGCGTCGTCGTCGGGAGGGGCTCGTCTGTGCCATTTCGGGGAGCAAGAAAGAATTGAGGAATCGAGATGCGAGATAGCAGCATGTTACTACTACTTACTACTCCTGTTGCTCTAAAAGAGACATGGAAACCCTTCTTGAGCACACTTCCTTATCCTTTTGTTGAGAAATGTCTCCCCAGGACACACCTTGGCCCTTGGAAGAAGTGTTAGTTTGAATGAGAGAGCGCATCGGGGAGCTTAATTAATCCCTTAACATAAAATAATGAAAATAACGCTCGTTAGACATTTCGAGTTCAATCGGACCAAGATCGACAAACATCTGTTTGAGATTGGTTTGCGATACGTGTTTCCCGAGACGGTAGTTCGGAAGTTAGTTGTTGCCATTATGATTGAATCGTTTATCACGCGCTGCCGCGGAGCCTCGGAAGTCGGAGCCGTCCGACCGACAAAACAGACTGACTGGGCCCCAATTGTTGGGCACCGTGCGAGCGAACAATGCTCGCCGTCCGACTGTATACTGCGGGCGCAACGCCCCGCCAGCCGACTATACTCGTGTCGCGGTTCTTTTCTTACTCCCTGGGCTTCGTCAGTATAACGAGCTTCGCATTGGCCTCATTCAGATTGCGAGTTAGTTGTACTCATTATCGCTGCGTAGTACAAAATAATGTATTGACGCGATAGCCTTTTGGGAAGGGCGAATCGAACAGGGTACGGGGAGGTTGGGGCGGAGCAGGGAATGTCTTGGCCAGTGACGCACTGCTGATGGAAGTTAGAGAAATAAAATTTTCCGCCAAAATTGCGTCGAAATTCAAACGTCAACGACCCGCATCCCCTGAATACATGCATAGGACGATAGTATGTTGATTACAATAAATCACCAACGTCTGCCTGCCAACGCCGACGAAATTATTTTCTGCTGTCTTATTTTACCAGAACTGCGCAACTGAGATTGGAAAATAATTTCGTCAATCAGCGACCGACAATGTCAACGGGTCAATCGATTTCGAGAGTGAAAGGGCGGCACACAAAATAAAATAAAAGGGGCACACGTCAAACCGTTCAATAACCAGCCCGGCTCCTGCTCCTGGCTTTCTTACCCGCGAGGCGCGAGCAGGCTACCGGCCGGCAGGCCGACACGACCACCACAACAACAATCAGGCTAATCTCGGTCCAGTCCATGCAAGCCCACTTTAGCTCACTTGGCGAGCGGGGGAGGCCGGCGGGGCGGGCGGGGCACAGCACGAAAGACCTACCTCGTAGCCGCAGACGGGGGCCTTCTCGGCGTGGGGGCGTCCGTGGACGCAGGCCGCGAGGGCCAGGACGGCGAAGACCGCCAGCCGCAACAACTCCATGTCGACGACTGAGGAGGGGTCTGCGGGGCGCGGCTTGGGCACCCGCTGCTCGCTCGGTCACTGTCACTCACTCGTCACCGCACTCGGCCGAACTCGGTGCCGAAGAAGCCGAAGCGAGGTCCGACCCGAACCGAACGTTCGGAACGGCAGACGAGTCGCGTGAGTGCGAGATGTGAGGCTGCGGCCGGTGCGGCCCGCCGTGGTGTCTGCCCTGGCCGCCCCGTGTGCTCCTGGTCGGCTCGGCTGGCTGACTGAGGGAGACGGACTGGGAGGGACTGCCAGCTGGAGAGAGGGAGGCGGGAGAGAGGGGACCGGCGGCGCGGTGGTGGCTCGCGAGCGCGCGGTCGCGGCCTCGCGGGGTGTGCGCGGTGAGCGGCAGAGATGAAGAAAAGGGGTGAAAGGGGGTTGACAAAGCGGGCGGGGAATCCCAGCTCTAAGGGTAGTGCGCATTCTCTACCGCGCTCTTATTCGAATGGAAAGCGAGAGAAGTCAGCGTCTGATGGAAAACGAAATGTTTCGCCAAAAAACGGACAATTGTCCAACTATAAAACACTCCTCTAGGCACCCTCCAAGTGCACCTGTAGTAGGTCGGTCGAAAATCACCCTGTAAATTTCCTGCAGATGATAGGACGTGCAAGTTATCATCTCCCAAAAAGTTATAGTTTTCCGACACACGAATAGGTGTGCGACAACGACGCGCCGTGCTACAAACTCTATCTATTCTTTTAGAACCACATAATATTTCTGTGTTAACTAGGGAGAGGGGAAAGATTAAAACAAAATAATCGAGTGCCCCAGTTGCACTGAGCTAAAACCACATGCAAAAACAAATTTGCTCAAATTATTGCGCTTTGCAAATTAGAAGCGGTGTGGCGTTGTGGCGGGGAAGGGGGAGGGGGAGAAGCGGGCGGACATCTCTCGCGACGCGACCGCAGTGAAGGGAAAGGAAAAGGGCCGCGGGCCGTATGATGCGCGGTGGAGCGCCACTCCCCG